GTCTGGATAACAAAAGCATTTAAAATAAAATCATGTCAAAAACAATCATATGCTCTTACATTTAGGTGTGGCTATTCAATTTTCTTTGTTTGAAGTTTCTGTTTATTTTTGTTGTCAGATGGAAGGAAAAATCTTGAATAGAGATTATTATTATACTTAATAATTTGGAATCTCTCCCTTTCTCTTTTTAGTTTCAGAAACAAATTGAAGCCTTAAATCAAAAATGGCATTCAGATTTTTAAAGATGATTTCTCTGCATGGGAAAGAATAATGTATCATCTAGTATTTTAACAAAATGTTCAATTCCTGTATTTTTTTTCTTTTATCATGGAAAATAGCACTTCAATTTTAAATTTTTACTTCCTAATTTAATTTTAATAACTAATTTTAGCTTATTTACCACATGAAAGGATGTTCTTTCATCTTATTATGTCTGAAATAAATTTCTATGCAAACCTAGGGTATCGCAAGGCTTTTTCTGCTTATCTTCCACGTACTGTGGAAATAACCCTGAGAATTAGTAATTTCTACTTACCGTTTGTTTGGATGCTCATCACATAAGTGTTTGGTCTCTTGCCTTATGGTGAGCTATGTGTTGAGACCAGGAGGTGCAGTTCCAGCTGTGAAGGGGTAGGTAGTAGTTGCTGGGGCTGGGTTCACACAGGATGTTAAGATCAGCCCAGGGCAGCAACAAAAGCTGTGGACTGTCTGTCTTGGAGCAAGTGGTAGGGAGGGCATGACCTAGAGAGGAAAGCATCGCAGATGTTTCCTGTTGTGTTTGGACATTCACGAGAGGGTCATTGGATGGCAGGTTTCTTGGAGTGTAGTGTTATTCAGGAGAATTTGTTGGCTTTGCATGGCAAGGCTTTGGCATGAGAAGGGCCACAGACAATGGCTTCTGTGAGAAGCTGCCAGAAGCTTCCCCATGTCTGACAGAGCCAAGGCCAGCTGGCTCCAGGATGGACCTGCAGTTGGCCAAGCCCATCAGCCATGGTGGTAGAGCCTTTGGGATAACAGATTTAAGAAGGGAGGAAAAACTTCTGCTGCCGGAGAAGAGAGGAGTGAGAGAAGCAACTGCAGACACCAAGGCCAGTAACAAAGGAGGGGAAGGTGGTGCTCCAGGTACTGGAGCAGGGATTTCCCTGGAGATTGTGGTGCAGCCCATGGTGGAGCAGGATGTCCTACAGCCCATGGAGGCCCGTGGTGAGCAGAGATCCACCTGCGGCCTGTGTAGGACCCTGCCAGAACAAATGGATGCCTCAAAGAGGCTGTGACCCCAGGGGAAGCTGAAACATTTGCTGACAGGACTTGTGACCCTGCAAAAGACCTGTGCTGGAGCAGTTCATGCAGGCCTGTTTGCCATGCTGGATGAGGTGAAGAGAGCAAGGAGCACGGAGTGGCAGAAACAATGTGTCATGAGCAGGCTGTAACTCCCCATAACTGTCCCCCTGTGCTGCTCTGGGGAAGGAGGTAGTGAAACTGGGAATGAAGTTAAGCCTGGGAATAAGGGATGCTGGAGGAAAAGTAAGATTTGGTTTTGTTTTCTCATTGCCTTGCTCTGCTAGGTACTAATTACACTGATTTCCCTGAATCCAATCTGTTTTACCTGTGAGTCCCCACTGTGCTGCTCTGGGGAAGGAGGTAGTGAAACTGGGAATGAAGTTAAGCCTGGGAATAAGGGATGCTGGAGGAAAAGTAAGATTTGGTTTTGTTTTCTCATTGCCTTGCTCTGCTAGGTACTAATTACACTGATTTCCCTGAATCCAATCTGTTTTACCTGTGATGGTAATTGGGTGACCTCCCTGTCCTTATCTTGACTCCCCAAACCTTTTGTTGTTCAGCCAAGGAGGGGAAGCAGTGGGCACTGGGTAACCAGCCAAAGTCAATCCATTACAAGGCAATACCTGAGAGTTTCTGACAGGCTAAAAGGTCTGAATTGCCTTCGTGCTTCAGGAGCAGCTGTTGATTGGGAACACTTGTCATCTCCTTGTTCTCCTGAAGCAGAAGATGGAGAAAGAAGCAAACTCTGCATTTGAGCTGGTGTCTTCCTAGGATGAGGTTTCCTCTTACTGAACATTTTGCAGTTAAGTAAATGAAGACCTAATAATGCTAGATATTTGCACACATGTAATTCAGGTCTTTTAGTGTACATCTATCATAAAGTTGTATGTTTGACGTTTCAGTGCTTTTCTGAGAATGTGCAGTTGTTTAGTGATATTATGAGAAGAATATCTAGGTGAAGAGGAGTTGTCAAATCCAAAACAAGAGTGGAAAGAGAAATAAGTTCATATTTGGTGAGGAAATAGGGGCAAATGCCCTTTGTTGTTGTTACAAGTAGAGATCTACTACTTTGAACTGTCTGTATTTGCAAATGGGAAGGATGGAGAATCATAAAGTGCTCAAATAACTCCATGTAAGAGCGAAGTAATTCAAAATTAGGCAAATTATTTCACCTTGTAAAAGGAAAGTTAGAAACTTCCCTTTCTCAAAGTCAAAGCTTTTCATTATCAATTTGAAACAAGCGTAGAGTGCTAGTAAGTCAAGCATTTTACCTCTCCTGTCCTGGGAAAATGCAAAAACCAGACCCACCAGTAAGACAGAGAATGATGCTATAACTGCATGAGTTAGTGGCTGTCCTGTTAAGGGTTAATGTGTTTAATAAGTTTCATCTTGTATGGTTTGGTGTTTTTGTGTCAGCTCCTCCTTGATTTACTCTCTGTAGAAAAGCTGCATTTCAGCTCTTCTGAAATCTTTTGTCAAGGTCTTAAAAAAAATTGGCAAACATATAAAAAAAAGTTCAGTTATTTCAATAATATATGTAATTTCCTTATGCTTTTTGCCATTGAGTTGATCTGTCACTTTACAATAGGGGAGATTCTTCATCTTTGTTTGGGGCATTCAGCACCTTAAACAGTGTGGTTATGATCAGAGTATGAGCAGTAAAAGTTTAGCAAGTTCTAGTACTTTGAATCCTACACAGAAGTTGCAGTTCCAGATGTCTTCTGCTGTGTCAGGTCCATAGAGCTGCTGGTATCACAACTATAACATGAAACTAGCTAGCAAGGAAAAGCTGAATCAAAAGGCTGCTGTAAAACTGTCTTAGGTCAAGTAGAAAACAGTAAGACTTGGACCAACACCTTGTTTTGGATAAAGGTAGAATTAGTCTTTGATTTTATTGAAATTTCTCCTAATCTGGGAAGAATACAGCTGACAAAGCCTGTAAACTTTTGGGCTGAGTGATAGCTGCAAACATTCAGTTAATTTTCCAAATGTTTTCTGAACTCCCTGATGAGTTTGTCTTATGCTCCTGTCTAATCTGCAAAATAATAGAGTCCTTCATTAAGGGGAAGGGGAAAATTAAAATGTTTGCAGATTTCAAAATTTTGCTTTTGGTTTTATTTTTTATGGAAGCAGGTCTGGGATTTGTAAGCTGTCGTCCCCCCCCAAAAAAAAAAGTAGGAAAACTAGTCACTTGGAAATGAAAATAGAACATTTCTGTCACTGTGAAGTATGAGAAAGTCAGGTTTTCAATTTCACACTCTTATGCAGGATGGGAAAAGGAGAGAAGCGGTTTTCCATGCAATTATATTGTTTAGTCTTCCGGGGAAATGGTCATCTTTTTTCTCCTGGCTGTTCCTTCTGTTTGCCTCCTTGTGCTCTTTCCATGGAGGAGGAATACTTGCATTGCCTGGGATTGATTCTGTGATTTCCTAAAGCTGCATATTGGAGATGTCTGTGTCACGTTCTGACAGGTCTTGTTTTCTGCCAAAGGAAATTAAAATTGTCTGTGCCTTTTACTGAAGTTTTGGCCTCTGTTTTAAATGTTGATTATTAAAATGTCATGTTAACCTTCAGCAAGGCATTTGGCTAAATTTACAAACTGCAACATCATCATCTTGTGTAATTCTAGTCTTTTTTTGCAAGAGTGGTTATTTAATCTCTGAGTTCAGTTTCCTTTCTAGCTTTTTTAGTGCACTCAACATATATTTTTTTAATCAGTCAATTTACAGTAATGTAGGAAGGCTGCAGGAAGCACACAATATTGAAAATATAATAATGATAATAAAAAAATAATGAAGTTTATAATACATTTTTACAGTACAGTAGTGTGGACAAATGGAGCTTGAATCTTTGTTTATTATGATGTCTTCAGATACATTTTTTCTGAAAACTTTGGGTATCTCAAATGTAGACCTGTAAGTTTTTGCAGCAAGTTTTTTGCAAGGTAAGTGTAAGAGGCTTGTAATTTGCATATATGATTTCCTGCAGGCTGCAAAAATGGAGAGAGAAATTTTGAACATATTCTTTTTCTTTTGGCTTTAGGATTTTGAAAGCTTGCCAATTTGCTTAAAGAGCAGCCTGCTCAAATACTGTTTTCACCTGCTATACAAGGAACCCTTTAATCATCATCTAGATGGTCCAAACTTAGAAAGAGGTTAACTTTCTGCCTGACAGCTTGTATTGGTATTGGATATTAAATAAGTACTCTAAGTTTGCTTCCTATGCTAACGTCTGTAAACTTAAAAATTACTGCATTTTCTAAAAACAGGTCCTTAGTTTGAGGAATGGGTAATGCCTGTTCTTAAACTGTGATGAGATACTTTATGTAGGAAGGGAGGAGGGACAGTGTAACTTCCTTGGGTGTCTCAGATCACATACAAAGGCAAGAAAATCTAAGCCTAAATTAATAATGGAGAAGGAAGTAGAATTTTCTTACTTTTCCTTACAAAGACTTTCAGAAAGTATGAGTCACTATTAAACCTACTGTGAACCTACTATTTTAAGAGACTATTTTCTCTAACATAGTCTTGACATTTTTACAGGCCTTTGGTAGTCTCAAGCCCTTCGTTTTTGTAGGTGAGTATGTGGTATGTTTGGATCAGAACATTAACATCCATTTGTGGTAGTTCTTCACATTTAGTCACTATTTCAATCCATAAGAATTTAACAGCTACATAGTGATATATCCTATGACAGCAGATGTTTTTGGACCTTTACAGATCATGAGTCAAGCTGAAGGACAGCAGAAGAATCTTGTACAAGCCATTGAATCTCTCCCAAATTCTGGGCCTCTTACTGCCTTGGATCAGGACTTGCTACTTTTAAAAGCTACCTCTGCTGCCACCCTGAGCTGCCTTGGAGAATGCCTGAGTCTACTACAGCAAAGCATGCATCAAGTGGGCCAACAGCATAACAGGACACTGTCATCAGGTGAGCACAAGCTCCCTTGGGTATTGTTTCATGTGCCTTGGGATGTTTAAATAAGATATGAAGCAGGCAAAATTAACCATTCTCAGAGAAGCAAGTTGGGATGAGCTGCTGTGACCTTCTGCAGCCTCAAGCACTCTAATTCGTTGCCTAAAAAAAAAGATGCAAAATGTATTACAGTCAGAATAGAGAAGAAAAATAGGTGGTCCTGAGTTTTCTCAGGGAAATTGGCCCTGAAGACAGCTACAAAAAAAAAAAGGGGCATGGGGAAAAGGTATATATAAACTATATAAACCTACATTGTTAACAACAGTGTGGAACCACTGGTTGTTTTGGTTTGCTCCCCCTCTTTTTTTTTCTTTTTTTTTTAAAATATATAAACCTACATTATTAACGACAGTGTGGAACCAGTTTGGTTGTTTTGGTTTGCTCCCCCTCTTTTTTTTTCCTTTTTTTTAAAATAGATTTCAATCTCAGTACAGATCGTTTGATAAAAATAATGCTATGCAGTGCTACAGTGAAAATAATATTTCTAGTTTTCTGCGTGGAAGGATGCTGCTAAGGTGGATTTATTTTTGTCTGTGGTTTTCTTTGAGTCTGGAAAGAGTTCTCCATGCTTTAAAAAAAAAAAAAAAAGTGAGAAGTTTTATGAGCTTAAAATGTGAGTGTGATACTACAGTGAGCTCTGCAGGCATGAGCCTCTCAGTCCCTATTTATGTTAGTTTTTCCAATTCACCCAGTTCTGGATCTGTCCATAATATTGGAAGTTGGACCTTGAACTTTCTGGGAGGGTGGTTAGGATTTTCCCATGCAGAAGCTGCACTGCCAAGTCTTAAGAACAATAGCAAGTGTTGATGTAAGAGAAGCAGCAGCGGCAGAACTCTGGATACAGGGTGGCTTTTTGTGTTTTCTTCGGGTGCTTCCGAAACAATCCCCATCAACCTGCCCTTACTTGCGGTAGGTTCACTGCAGGGCAGAACAGGCCCTCAAGGCTGCTGAGATGGTGGGACAGCCTCTGAAGCATTCCCATTGTGAGGAGAGCAGAAATGTGAAACGGTTAGTTGGGAGGCAGGAAAATGATACAAAAGTGGTTCTTGGAAAAAAACCAATATTAAAACCTTTTGACACCTGTCCTATGGTACGTGCTGACTTTCCCATATCCAGATGCTGATCGGTTTCATAAAGGAACATGATTTTTAAAAAATTACCATTTTCTTGTAGAAAATGCAAACCTCCTTTGTACTTACCTAAGTAGTAATGCTAAAGTGCATTGAATTAAAATATTTGATATAACTTTATTTCAGAAAAGAATAGTTTGAAACAGATGAAAAGCAACTTTCAAAGAAAAGTTACTTTCTAGTTTCAAGGTCTCAGAAGGTTGTTTTTCATCTTGATGTCATCTCAGTGAACTGTCAAGAGATAGATGACTTGAGGTGCACAGGTCCTTGACTCTGTGTCCACATAATCTTCTCTTAAATCTGTCCTTGTTTTGACTTGATAATGGTTTTTGAGGATCTATGGACAGGAAGAGAGAAAAGCAAGCAAAGCAATAGTAATTGCTTAAAGGGAATCACCTTTTTTTTTAAAGGAAAGTCATGACTATGAAATACTGAATAATTATAAAATCTAATAAGTATTTTGATTTGTTCTTCCTAAGACTGTAAACTTGCACGAGAATCCTTTCAGGAATCAAAATTATGTAGCACTGGTTCACACTAGCATCTTTGGTGTAACTGTGAGAGCTTGAATGCAAGCAGTTAATTCTTCAGTGTGTGTGTGGCCTTATTCTTTGCTATGAAAGTTAAAAAAAACAACACTAAGAAGAGCTCTAAAAGCTGCTGAAATATTTAGTCTCTTCTCCCTGACTGAAATGATTTTTTTTCGCTAGGCCTTATTATGCAACACAGTTGCCTGAAAGAACCTGGCCTACAAGTCTTGATTACTGATTTTCCTGCACACTTAATCTTTTCCAGGGGTACTTTGATAGACTTAATGTTTGTGCTGAGTTGGTAGAGTTTCAGAGTCATCAAAGCTGCATAAGCTCATACCTATTCAGAATAAAGCCTTTAAGTAATCCCCCAGCAAACTAATTCTGAGAGATGATCTAGTTCATTTTGATTGTGTCCTCCAGGTGAATTATTTTAATTTTATACCCAGCAAATACAACAGAAGATGACCTTTTCTGTCACTGTCAGGTGAAAATGACTTTTTTTAGTTTAAAACCACGTGCTCTGGTGGTAGGAATTCTCAAACACCTTGCTTGTGAGATGTCATGGTCCTGTGCAATTTATTGCTGAATGTTTCCACTCCAGTGCTGGCTCATTACCTGCTGTGTGGTGTAAAGATGCTAGTGGGGATTTTGGGGTAGAATGCATAGATAGAGACAAGATAGGAATTTGATAATTTATTTTCTTGCTTCTAGCCTACAGTTCATGAAAGCAATCCAGTCCAGGCAGGCAACAGTCTTCCTTGTGTGGAGTGTGAGAAATACTCAACTGCTTAGCTGGGGTAACTTGAACCTACTACCCCTGAGTTTCTTTCCTTCAGCATCCAAAGCTTTCACTATTATGCCATAAAGAGAGAGAACTGCCTTAAAAGTAGATCTATATCTACTTAATCTGTACCTTTCCTTGTGTCCTTGGGGTCTTTATACACAATTGTGCAAGTTTTACTGACTTCCCTGGAGGCCTTGCAGTCTTACTGCCTCTAAAGCAAAGACTTAAAAGTGGCTGAGAGTTTCTGACCTAGTACTTATGGAATGCTCTCATGAAGATTATAATAAAATAGTCACTATTTTAAACAGACACTGACATTTATTGCTATAGACAAGGAAAAAAAGTGTCTTCTTTCTTTTGATGTAAATATTTTTGTTGCTTTGTTTCCCAGTAATTAGAGTAGAAAAAAATCAGCATTTGCTGTAGTGGAATCTTGTCCAGAATCTACAATTATGTAGGTCATGACTTAAAATATTTTTATGGCATCCTTTCTAATGGAATAGTTTAAGGATGACATGATTTTTCCATTTCATGTTTCTCACGAATTGTCAGTCTTAGACCTCAAACCTACAAGCAGACATGAAGATTAAACTGGAGCCTTCAATCTTGTCTTGAAGGCTAGTCAATGATTTTTTTTATTTCTACTCTGAAGCTTTCTGGAAGGGTTTTTGTGATTGTCTGTTTGGGAAGTAAATCAACAAGAACAGTCAGTGAAGCAAAATCCTGTCTGTGTTTCTACTTTTAAGTAAAATTAATGTCAGAATAATTTCTAGCTGTTGTTATTAAAGGTATATGCATTGATCACTGACTAAATGTTTGTAATTTTTTTTTCTTTCGTTGAAAAATATTCCAGAAAAGGGTATTATTAGCTGAAAGTGTTGGTTACATGTAATGTGAGTTGAGGATAAGAGATTGCACCTTTACAAGCTTCTTTGTGTTTGAGAATTACATTTTTTTTGGTAGGATGGTGGAAAATGTCAAGGCCTTTCTTTTTGGCTAGGAATGCCACCACTTAGGTACATCAAAGGTACCTTCTGACAGGCTTGAGTTTATTTGGCATGCAGACAAAGAGTGGGTACCTTTGAAAATAAAAATGTGGAGAAGAAACTTTTGTCTTCATTTCTAACTTTAGAAGTTCTAGTGCTATTTTTTTCCAGCTCTGTGTACAGCCTTTGGCAGAAGAATATCTCCAGAGCCTGTTGACTGCAATTGTTAACATTCTTCTCTCCCAGACTGTGAACAGAGCAAACTTGAATGTTTGTTCTGATGTAGCTCTACCAACGTATGTTGTGTTTTAGATCTGGGTTGGTTTTTTTGTTTTTTTTTTTATTTTTTTTATTCTGGTGTTTTGGCAGACAGAATCTTCTCCTGTAGTAGCAGCCTGCACAGATCAATCCGTTCTTTTAATCTGCTTTTCATTTTGGCCATTCATTTACTGAATAAAGCATCTTCCTAATAGGAATTCCCTCCTATATTTTTCTATCTCTTCCTTGCCCTTTTTTCTACACTGTAGAACATTTCATTTTTCTTATGATTTTTTAAAAACAAAAACCGAACTCATCCTTACTGTGGATTTTCTGCAGTTCACTTTAATGTGCAAACGCTGCTGATTTTGGGTCCCATGGAAACAAATGGATCAGAGATGATTCTGGAGTTGGGGGCAGGATATACTTGAGCTTTTTATTCTCTATTGCCTCCTTTTTGGAGAAAATAAATGGATAGGAAAGACAAAAAGTAGATGCTTTCAATTTGTTGACAAATGACCACTAGAAATTCTCTTGCAGCTGATGACAAGAGAGAAAAATGAGTAGACAGGTAAGTCCTTTTTTGTGCTTAAATGCATGTGGAGAGGGAAGAGTGAGGAAAGAAAACAGCAGTACCAATTCTTTGTTACTGGTGTACTTTACCAAGTTGGCTTGGCCAGTCAGTTCTCCATTAACTGCACCCTCCCCAGCCTTGCTTCTGTCAAGAATAGCCAGAACAATTTCCTGTTCTGTCTAAAGGCTAATGCATTATTCCTTACATGTTCTTCTTTCGTTGGAAAATAACATTATTTTCTAGTCCCCACACAATATTAGCCAGTACAATCTCATGTGAAAAGCAGAGATGCAGCTGCCATTTGCTGTTGGTGGTTCAGTGTGCTGTATGGATTCAGCAGAAGGACCAAGCTGTTGCATCCATCCCTGGCAGGGGAAGGAATCCAGGTCTAATATTGGTTTCTCCTCAAGTCCTACCACTGCACTGTTAGGGGATATTTGCTAGAGTATATTTACTCATGACATATTTAAAATATGTCATGAAAGTGTGTTAAATAGATGTTTACAATTGTGCCCGGGAAAAAATGTAGGGTGTTTTTTGTAGTCTCCCAGGCAAGACCAGAAGACTTAAAATTTGAGAGGTTTTTGTTATGGAATTGAGATGGGTGTTAAGCATATTTCATGCATCAATTATCATGCGAAAGTGAGTTTGAAGATACATCAGGTAGCCAGAAAATCAAAACCAACAAAAGAAAATTATCATCTTTGCTTAACTGAAAAATCTCCTGTAAACCTTCTGTTCAGAGAGAACTCCCCCCACTCCTGCAGTGTGCACCTGTAGAAGGGAAAGATGTTTCTCCTGAGGGCATTTTTGTGGTACAGCCTACTGTGCCCTCTGAAATAGATGTTTGTGAACTGCAGCACTGCTATAAGGAAAGGATAAATAGGTTGTGTCTGGATGCTGTGCTTTGCTTAGGTACAAGTGTTCTCATATGCCTTGCTGCATGTTCATCACAGTGGCAGCTGCTGTTGAGGAGAAGTGGGAAGGAAGCTAATTTTTGGTTATGTTCTATAAGAACTCTTTTTTTGTATATATATATATGCTGTGAACTTTCAGAGGAATCAGACTTGGGTTTTCACTCCTGGAACTACAGAACCAACACAATGCAGGTAGAAGAGATCTGGCTGATTGTACTAGTTGTGTATTTGGGGGTAGGTCCTTTCTAATTTTTGCATCATTTGCTGCAGAAACAGATGTTTTGTTTTAATTAGTGTAGTGCTTTGCATAGTCTTAAAGCAAGTAGTAAAGTAGTTATGTAAAAGTATTGACAGCTGCATAATTTGTGACTGCCTTTCTGGCAAATTCCTTTAGAGCTCTGAAATGTATCAAAATAGATTAAAATTTACCTTTCTGTCAGCTGTCTTTGGCCATGACTGAGAACAGAGAAAAAATCTGTCTTAAGAAAACGCAAACCAGTGACAGCAGTTTTCTCCTATTTGCATCCGACTCAGAAGAGAAACTTTCTCATGTTATGCTTAATTTTCATAGATATATTTTTAAAGTCTTTATAAGAAGAGGGATTGAACTAGTGATAGAAATTTTTTGAGTCCCATAAAGGGCAAAGATGGCAACTCTATTAGAGTGGATTGAATGATTTATAGATGGCAGCTCAGTCTGTGGAGAGTAAATTCCAGTACAACAACTGGATTAGATATGGCACAGACAACAGCTGTGCCTGTACTGTTTTGTGATAAGAGTAATTTGTCCTAGTGCAGGTGAGAACATTTTGGGTATTTTGAAAAACTGAAGAAAACCCTGAAAAACTGTCCTGAAAAGTTTTGGAAAACTCATAACCTGAGTAAAGTAGGAGCCATATTGTTGTGGCCTTTCACTTTCTACATAGGGATTGTATTCTAGTCTGAGTTGATTTTAAGATAATTTCTGATGAATTCTCTTATCAGAGATTGCTTTTGCCTGAAATGTGAGCTGCTGTATTAGATATATGGCAGGTCCCTGGGGATGATAGGAGAATGCTGACATCTCAGAGTAAGATTTGTAGATTAAAGATCATCATGGGTTACCTGATGGCGCTTTGAAACTAGGTGGAAATTTTTTTTCAATTCGTTCAGAGAGATACTCTTTATTTGTTTAGATTTCTGTGATGTGTGACTTAATATCTTTTCCTGCATATTTCTCTTTGGCAAAGCACTCAAATTCCAGATGCACAGTTTAACAAAACAATTTTTCTTATATGCAAAGTGTTGAGGAAATGAATGTGCTTTAATATAATTTGGACTGTAACTCTTGGCATCCTGTTGGTGTTTGCTTGGTCATAATGTATTTTTAAGATCTGTTTAAAATTTGATTAGGCTGACAAGATTTGTTGTTTTGTGAGGGTAGCATTGCCCTTGATACAGGAGAGAAAACATGCTTGCCTAGATCTAACAGTTTCTATTTCTCTTGGAGACTCTAAAATGTGCAAAAAAATGCAAAGGCCTTTTTACAATGTGTTTGCACTGAAGAGGAAAACCAGTATAGTGATTTTAAAAACATGTTTGTAATGATGAAGTAAATGTTCACACTTTAAAATTTTCCCTGAAGTGAGGTACTTCTTCATGTGGGAGCTTTTTATTATGGTTATTTACATAAACTAGATTTTAAAAAAATCAAAAATAATTGTTTACAGTGAAGGCCAAATAGATTGTTTGTACAGAGTGAAAATGGATAGCCCAAGGAAATGATGGGATGACATATTTTTAAAGATTGGCATAAAGAGAAGTCAGTTCAATTTTTTTTTAGTGTCTCTGTAATAGGAAAATATCAATAGTAATCCATTATTCAGCTTCTTTGACAGAGAGAAACAGAAAACTAGATCGAGATCTGTTATTGCAAAATAATGAAGAGTGAGAAATAATTTGACAGCAGAGCCACAGAAATGTTCTTCCTTTGGCAAGAGGAATTTTGTGTAATTGTATGAAATACACATTTTAAAAAAGAAAAAAAAAGCTTGATTTTTCCCCTGTTGGTTACTCAGATATTTGAAAATAATTTTTTTAAACTACTTGCTAATGCTTTCCTCATGATTTCTTCAGCAAAAGGTGGCGCCACAAAAGCACCCTAAGCAAAGCAGATCTGAACTCCTGCCATGTCTTCATAACTTAGTGCCATTTTAGATGAGAGGAATGTTCTGTAACTGTTTTGTCTCTGGCATTTGGTAAGAGTTCAGTCAGCTATGGGATTTGTGGCCCATTTTTTAATAATGGAAGTGCTACTGTAACGCTATGTAGATAGACTCTCCACATCCAACCATTTACTTCTCTTAGGAGGCAGTCTCTGGTAACCCTGGTGATATGGGGAGGAGAAAGTGCATGTTCTTTAATGTACTTTGTGTTGCTCTGCATCATCTTAAAAGTTTGTCAGTGGTGAGAGGAAATCCTCCCTGTGGCACTAATTGTATATTCATTTATAAATTATGGTAATGAGTGAAGAGCTGTGATTTTCTTATCCATATCTCTATGTTTTATAGCAGTGTGTAATTAATAGCTGAAATTTTAAGTCCTGTGCTGAGGGCTAGTAATTTCACTGTTGAGACTATGTTTTAGAGCACTTAGGGAGGAACAACTGTGCACTTGCCTTAGCTGATCGTACTTTCTGTCATGGCATCCTTAAATACAGAACCATCCAGGAAATCAAGTGCCCCCAGAAATAAGGGTTGTTCTGATGCCAAGTTTTGTTTGATTCATATTTAATGTGTATCTTTCTAATGAGACCTCTTTTAAACTGTGATCTTGGTACCAGTAAAGCATTTTAGAAAAAACTTTTAGTAGTACAGACAGAAATAAAATACAGCTGCTAGGCTTAAAACTTTGATTTCAGGCAGAAGAAATGGAGGGTTACTTGGATAACTTCATAACTATGAAAATAGTGGGTAGAGAATTCTTGCTTAATTTTCAAGGTATGCCAGAATTATGCAGTCTGGTAGTAGGTCTAAGTAGGTCTAACTTTAAAAAAAAATCACAGAAAATTTGCCTGAAAGATGCTTACTTTGGTTATTTAGAGTGTTTCTTGCTTCCAAAGGCAGGGATATCATTTGAGATACAGCATAAGCTAGTTCAGAAAGTACAAGATAATTTTTTACTGAAGTAAAGCTGTACATGGAAGCAGAGAAGAGATAAAATTCATTTAGATCAGTAGAATGGTGAGGTGAATGGAGGAAATCTGTAATCTTTCTCTCATAAGCTGATACCTATTTTCTGCTTCAGATGGTATCCTGGGATGGCCTGGGCCCAAGTCACACTCCACAGAGGAGCTGAAAAACGGTGCCCTCAGCTCCTTATCATCTGCTAGTGCCAACATTACGTGGGCAAGTACCATAGTACCATCTGCAGCCCAGGATGCACAGGCACTACAGCCAAACACTGAGGTAAGCGTGCTTGGTCTCTGTAGAGACCTCTGTTGGTTAGATGCAGACCACGTGTGATGGTGGATACTTTCATTGATAAATTATTGTATTTTGTCTTGATAGTGTACTCTTTGTTTGAAGTTACTTTAAACAGTGAAGTGAAAATGATAAGTTTCATGCAAAAATGCACTCCAGAAACTTGAAAAATATGTTAATGATATTGTTCTGTGCTTTTACTTCTCTGAGGTGCGTGGGTAAACAAACTTTGGCAAGTGTACAGTTTCTTTCCTAATCTTAAAAGCAATCAACAGACTGTCAGTACATGTTTCTATCCTCTGATGCAGATAAAAGCTATTTTTTTTATTTTTCTTTCTGGTTTGAGATAGACAGGAGACACTACTTGCTTGCTACTTGCTCTTCTGTGTTGTTGTTTTCTCTTGGGTATCTCTTGAGTATAGCTGACTGTTCTTTGGTTTGAAAAATGATGTTATTTCCTGATCCCTTTTCCTGTTAAGTGATTACGGGCAGAACTTGTTTCACATCATCCTGCATCAACCAGCTGATTTGTGCTTTTGTGGCATTTGCTTGGTAAAGGGCAGTTCTGAAGTTCAGAAGCACCCACTCTTTGAGGAGACTCACAGCTGCATATCAGACATCTGATGCACTGAAAATCTCTCATCATGACAAACTTCTCCAGCTTCTACTGTCTGCTTCAGTAACCAGTCCTGCCCACAAGGAAAACACTTCACTCTGAGACCCTAGAGATTATAGGGCACCTGGAGCATGTGAGACCTGGAGAACTGAAACAAAGTTTTTGAAAGAACTGAAGAAACTAGTGAATGCTCTGGGCAATTGGAATGGCTTAAATTAAATTACATTGCTTTTAACAAAATATGTAATGGCTGGAGACATCAATAAAGCTGTTTTTCCAGTTCTTTTGTAGTATGTTGAATTGAATGTAGTTCAAAATAATTCACAGATAAACTAGGTTTTTTTTTTAACATGTTCCTTTGGTCCTCTGTCCTTAGAAAAGAATTTTGAATTCTGTTATTCCTAGTGTCCATTTACCAAAATGTTTAAATTAATGTAATTAGTTTTTATTAGGAAGCTGTGCAATTCCTTTTTTCAGATAAGCCAAGTGTATTTTTTTACAATGTGTTTTTAAGACAAGAGCATATTTAAGGGTATTGTTTTGGGAGTCACTACTTACTGAACCACTGAAATCTGTTTCATTAGGGTTTTTTTAGTTTTTGTTGTTATTCTTTTTTATTCTTGATCATCCACTAAAGCCAAATGGGATGTGGAAGCATGAACTTTGCAGCAAGAACATAAAGAGCAGTAGCCGATTTTACTCACATTAAGTTATCATTTTGCAGTTGAGTTGAGCCATTTATGACATGTTTTAAATGACAATATTTTTTTATGAGTCCAATCCCTTCCTGTTCATTTGCTGATGAGAGACACTGATTTGTATGCATGGTTTGAGGTACTGCTTTGCTTGTGGAACTCATGATTTATTGAGAAGGGAGTACCCTTGAAGAGGTGAATAGAAGCAAGGAAGTGTAGCACTGTTTCTAGTACAGAATCCTCAGTCTTTGTGAGCAGTCTTCCTGAAGTCAGCAACCTGCATTTGGAGGCCCTGAGGCATTAGCCATTAAAAAAGAAGAAAAAGAGGTGGGGGCAGAAAGAGAGTAAGATTTTTAAGTTACAAAACTATCAGCTCAAAATGGTGTTTTTGCTAGAAGCAGTAAGTAGTAGTTTGTGGATTGGTGGGGCAACAAGAAGCAGCTGGAATCTGACATGCAATTTTTGTTATGTGGTAGTAGAGTTTAATGAGCAGAAATTTGGATTTGCGCCGAGGAAGTGGCTTAAACCAGGATTCATTCCTGGAAGTTCTTTAGAAACCTGCATCTTCTCTTATACAGAGTTTGTGTGTATGGTGCTGAGATTGATACTGTTTGGTCTGAATTGGAAGGTTTTTTTAAATGTAGCTGATATACTTTTCAGTTTTAATCATTTTGTTAAACTTTTTTCCGAGAAACTTAACGTTCTTACCAGGGTAACTGTTATCTGAGCCAGGTAGTCACTCAGGAGAGTCTGATCTGGCCAAATTTGTCAAATATGTTTGATTTGCCACAATTTAACAGTTCTTGTGCAAGATGTAATCATATCTTTAAATATATTGTGGCCTTGTGTGTCCAAGGCAAGTACCTAGATCTGGCACTGAGTAGACACTTTATTTTCAAAGGTATAAAAGCACTGACTGTGCTAATTACCTAGCATGTATAATAATACATAAAAGCAAATTAAAATCAACTTGTTTGTAGTCCAGATACTTTGTTGTTAGTAACATTAGCAGAGAATGAGAAAATGCTTCTAGGATGCCATTACTTGGCATTTTGACACTGAATGCCCTTTCTTTTTTTTTTTTAATTTATCTGAGAACTTCTTTTAGAAGAAAAGAGGAATCCACAAGTGTCATTCAAATGAAGTTTATTTGTCTTAATGATTTTCTTTTTAAGAAAACCCATCTAGGCACTAGACAATCTTGGTTTCTTGAAGAAACTGCTGAGGTATTAATGGGGCTCAACTTTCCAAATATACCTGCCAGAAGAAATAAGCCTTACTTTTGCAGAAGTTATGAGAGTGCTAGTTCCTTTATCAGTGCTATCAAAATTAATTCCACTCTCTTCTTTGACTGGTCTAGATTTTCATTAAAAGAAAAAGAAATCTGTAATTTCATGGTATAACCTCTATCTCTGAGTCAGAAGCTATACCCCAAAGGAATGGGAAAGAGCTTTCTGACTAACTCTGTGTAATATAGTAGATGGACCATCCAAACAAATTGACCTCTAGTCTGAAATGGAAAATGCCATTCAATGGCTAACCTTGAGGAGCAGCAGACTCAGCTGCTTATATTATGGAGTGTTATTTATAAGGCAAAGGTAATTTTAGGAATGTGGATCAGCAGTGATGTTAAGAAGAGAACAGAGATGTTGTGTTGGGGCAGAGGGGGTTGTGGGTGCCTGCTGAGGAATCTCTCCCATCCAGCTGCCTGCCAGTGGCAGCAGTGTCCTGGCAGCATGAGCGGATGGCTGAGTGTGTTTGGTGATAACTGTGCTGATTCTCAGCACAACATGCAGACACTTTGCAGCTGTGTAGCAAGAGGCATCATTAAAATACCAGGATGGGTATTTATATGTTTATGAAGAAGTGTGTGGATCTTTACAATTCCCTGGAAGAACAAGGTTCATCTAATGTAATTTTCTTTGAGTACTTAAGCATTCTTGAGGAATGTAGAAAGTTTTGGAGCTGAGTTTTGACCCATAGGTGACTAAAGTAAAACTTTTCTTCTTGGTCTGTTATACTGTCAGGGTTTCAGTAATGCAGAGTTTCTTCTCTGGTGAAATAAGGTAGAAGCTAAAGATTATACTCTTTAGGTATTATGTTGGTGTTCACTTGTTTTAGTTTATTTAGGGTGTTTCCTGCTTCCAAATGCAGGGATATCGTTTGAGATACTGCTTAAACCAGTTCAGAAGAGAAAAGATTTTGTGACAGAGATTATTTTCTTGTGTGTTCCTTGCCTATCATTCTTTTAGAGTTGTGATGTAGGACAGCATGAAGTTAAAGCCTATTATCTTTACTGAAAGAAATAACCTCTGAGAGTGAATTCCCAAATCAAGCAATTTTGTCTCTTATTTGCCATATTGTTTTTAATGTTTTATAAGTCTCTAAATTTTAGTTAGCTTTTTTTTTCCTGTCCACCTGAAACATCAGATGGAAGGGATAAGGGCTGAGCTGCACAGAACTATCCACAATCTAATGATCGTTGATGTAAAATGCTCCTGTGCATTCCCTAGTGAACCACTTTGGACTTTTTGGCATAAGTTGTGTTATAATTTCAAGGCAATTTTTAGGGTCAATTCTTAAAGCAGAACAGAATCAATCTGGTGTGAAATGTGCCAGAGGTGCACTCTTCAGACCTGTGATGTGAACTTGGTCTCTGTCCAGTCTGCCATAAACGGGATCCTGCTTTCTTCATTTAAGGTTTAATAATTTTGAAATTCTGTTCAAGAAATACTGACATTAATTAGCTTGAATCTCATAGTAAATTCAGTTGTAATAAACTTGGTACCAAAGTAGGATGAAGGTGTGAATCGCTTTCATGGGTGAACTACTCTTCCAGTTCAACTAATTGTTATTTTGGGGTCAGAATTCCCTCTCTGAGCTGACAAAGAGTGACTGCCAAATTCATCCCCTGACAGCTAAATACAAATAAGTAACAGGTTGGTTTTTTCTGGGGTCTGAAAGGGAAGGAATAATTTCCTTTGGATCTAATAGTTTTGTTCAGAATTATTTTTAAAATTGTTCTGTAGCTACATCTGCAATATAGTCCTCTTCATGTGATTTTCATGCCTTAAAATGCTATGCCAGCTGATTCTTCCCATCCTGTGGATCTGGTATCTGTGCTGTCTCTCTGCTTTCCTGTCCCTGACTTTCTCTTTTCTGTGAGCATGAGCAGCTGTATGCCTGCTGCAAATGGAAGTGTCTTTTTAATGGGATTGAAGTTTGAGCTCTGTAGGATTGAGCCTTAGCTCTGATTATCTAACTGCTAAAGCAGGTTTTAATTGTGATAGTGATTGCAAGGGCAGTCAAGTCCAGGTTATTAAAGATATTTTGGTCCCATGGATGATCTAAACCTTGGTGTTTTCAACTGTAACAGGGAATGTTCTATTTGGAAGAGTTACTTCATTGTTTAGTGTTATAAGTTGATGTATCTTTTCCCATTTCTTCAGTTTCTTTCAAGATGTAATTTGTTTTTTATCTGTATGTAAGTATATATCCTAATATGACTGTAGACTTTAGAGCTATTACAGAATGTATTAGAGATGCAAGGAATAATTTAAAAAACGCTCATGCAATTTTAGACACTCTGCTGGATAAAAGAAATGATTTCTAATTCAATATTACCTTTATTTATCTGTGTCTCAGAGGTGTGCCCAGGTCTGTGGATTGTTTCC